CACTGTTTTATATTTTATCTTTAAGAAAATGGAAATTTTGACCTAAACATTTTTCACTTTTTATTAAAATATTTGTTTAATTATTATATTTTTAAGATTGTGTTTATTGTTTTTTTTTATTAAAAATTGTTTTTATTATATTTATGATTTAAATATTTTTAAACGATGCATAAAAAATTTCATTCATTATTTTTTTTTGATTTATTTTTTATGTTATTATCTTTTTAACACGGTACATATATAAATATCGTAATCTCCATCAAATTCTTTATTGAAATTAATTAATAATTTTATTATCTTGGATTCACAAATTGAATCAATTAATAATAATTAGTCAAAAAATTAATAGATGAATTGATTTTCAGAGAATTGAAAAATGATGGCATGATGGAATATATGAATTTGTCTTCGAGTCGAAAATTTAAAATTAAAATCAAATAGTCGCATTGGATGGACATTTAATATTCTTAAATTCTTTCTAATTAATGATAATCATGCAAAATTTTTTTTTATAGATTTAACGGTATAAGTGGTAAAACGTAGTATGAATTCATAAAATTAAATTAAATGTTTTTTATTAATATATATATATATATATTGCGATTTAATGTATATTGCTCTTCTAATCACTTGGCAAAAAAAGCTTTTAAGATTTTATCGATATTAAAATCGATAAAAATGGATGTTATATACATGGGATATATTTAAATCATCGCAATCTTAGATTTACTCATTTATTCATCTATAATTATTTTTCTATTTTATCGACGAGATATTTTCTAAAAAAAATATTTGAAAAAATCATTGAAGAATTATTGCAAAATTTTGGTAATTAAAAGCAGAATTAATTGTAAAACAATTTAATATTATATTAATGATTGATGTATGACAAAAATTTTACAGATATATATTTGTTCAACTTCATATGTAAAATCATGATTAAGTGCAATGATATGGGAAATTGTTTTACAAGAAATCTCGATTTGAATCAATTTCTTTTTTAATACGTGCTATTAGATTTTTTATGCGACAATATAGAATCGCTTTTCAATAAAATAATTTATCATGGATGATATTTATTTACTATCTAAAAGAAGAAATAATAAAATGATTCAGGAACTTACATCTTGTGTAACATTTTTTGCAACAAGTAATTGCCAGTAATTTCAATTTACAACTTACAACTAGTTAAATGATTAATAAAACTTGTTTAGAGATTTTTATATTCTTTCAATTTCTAAATTATATTTTTAACTTGATATAATTAAAAACTAATATTGCGATATTTTTGATTCTATAGGATTATCTAAATTATTAAATTTCCCAGTGTATTTTCATAATAGTTTCATGTTAAATTCAATATTTGTTTTCATAATTAGGAATTTTTTACAATTTTATTTTAAAAAGTTTTCTTTGGTTTTTTTTCAATTTAATACAGTAATTAAATCTGCCCAATTAACGTTCCAATACATCGTAATAAAATAAATATTCGAAAATTATTTTTGATGCGCCATATCTCGTGATAAATGGATAAGAAAATTCATGAAAGTTGATCTGATTACGTGTAAAATATAATCGTGAATTCGTCGATATCGAGCTGATTTCTACTAATTATTTAACACCGGAAATTGTAGAAAGTGAAAGAAATAAAACGTTTTCTACATTTCTCGCAAAAATAATCGTACCGACCAAAAAAATATAATACTGAAAATAACCACGTTGTTGGTAATTCTAATTAATTTGACTTTATTCGTACAAAACAGCGAATATAATAATCATATCGTTCCAATTTGTAATATTGATTAATGGAACAGTTATTTTCAGAAATTGTTCATGGAATTCTCTAGGTGTTGTTATATTGTATAGACGGGAAAAAGAAGGAGAAACAGCTGGTATTACAGGGTTAGATAATTATGTATATACGTTTGAAAATGATTTCTCGAGATACGAAAATCGATCGTCAACCTTTCTCCATCCGCGTGCTTCTCTGATCGTGACATCGGCTGGTTACGCATCAAAGAAAAGTTCACCGTGGTTCTCTAATGATGGCCATTAGTTACGTCTATCGTGCTATCGTTCACGGTTTTATCTCGTTAGAAAATTAGTGTAATAATTATACGTTTCTTATTATGTGTAAAGAGAATCGTTGATATCGAATAATTTATCTTTTAAATTTATTTTCTATTATGAATTACGTGTTAAAGGTGTTCGAAACTTTCAGTTGGTTTTTCTCTTCGTTTTAAATTCTTCTAATGTTTACCGACTTCTAGAACTTTTTTCGTATATTTCATTTTTTTCTTATAGATATCCGTGGATATCTCTTCATGTTAATGAAAATTATTTTATCGTTTTGCGAATGATATTACGAAATATCGTTAATTTTTTGGATTTATTTTAATTTGTACGTACAGCAATTCAAAAAAAAAAAAAAAAAAAAAATGAAAAACTCAAATCCAATAGTATTATTCATAGATTCGCCGATATATTTATTTGAATTTATTGATGTATTCCGTATTGCTTTTTGAACAATGATAACTTAATTTTATCCATCGCATTTACAGTAAGTAACACGTATAATTGGTAACAGAAAGATTGGCGGCATCCAACTGACATTTTCACGAGATATCCATTTGACAAGTTCGGATCCGAAATTTTTGTACTCACATTCGATGTATTCTTTCGTTTTTTGTTCAGAATCTCTGAATCGTCGAAATAATAAGAAAGAATCGGAATAGGAAATCGGAAAAGACGTATGAACGGGCAATCAAGAAATCATTATTTTTCGTTATAAATGTAACATAAAAGTGATATTATACTTATTATACGCGAGCAATTTATCGATAGCCGTGTTATACAAGGTGTACAAGCTATTAACCCAGTCTGCCTTGAACTTTTTACTTACTTTTATCTTTCTAAGTTATTGCTTTTTAATATTCGATTATCTTTGAAATAATTTATATAATAACAACGAGCTTTTCACAATCTTATTACACGTATACTATATAAGGTAAATATCTCGATTCGTTTAATTTTCATTCACCGCGTACAACCGGTCAGAATATCCTTTTTTTTTTTTATTTTCTTTTTTGCCAATTCGGAATGCACGATCGTTCTGCGTTCTTCTATTCCGAAGATTTATGATCCAAGATAACGCTTGCGTCGTTGAATGTTTTGCATCGCGCACACAGACGTGGATCGCGATCCGGTCGAGCCATTTAGAGAACTAGCACCGATTCTACTTACGCGTTACGGTTGCATTAGAAACATAGTTGCGCGTTTTAATCGTATTGGAAGAGGATACCACAAGGATACCACTCATTTCGCTCTCGTTTCGAGCGAAAATTCATTTATAACGAGGAAAGATGAAGTCTGTCTGCGAACTCGAGAGAGATCGGGAGGATGAGATCAAGTGGCGAACTCGGTTGTAATTTCGTCGTAATTTCGTTTCAAAATATGTTTCGTAAGAAATAAAATATTTTTCAGATACTCGATGAAATTTTATAACTATTATAAATTTCGGTATAAAATTCTTTCTACACGGCCAACGGAATTATAATGCTCATTAAGAAAGATAACGTGCCAACTGAAACTTGGATCTTCGATCTATGATAAAAGTTGAATTACGTTAAAATCTCGAGAGATGAACTTATGATAATTCATCTAGCGAAAAAAAAGACTGTTTTCATCGCATTACAAAATCTTGAAGAACGGTCGCTTAAATTCTTTCCGTGAATAAAATTAGCAGAGACGAGAGAGAGAGAGAGAGAGAGAAAGAGACTCACTACTCTTTCAAAAGTAACGAACGAATCTAGGATACGAGATCATCTCTGACCTTTTCCCAGAACCGAAAGAGGTCTCCGTATGCGAGCGCACACGCGGAATTTAAATTCTCTCTATGTGTGTGTGGAATGCAGTGTGTGTCGTCCAACCAAAACGAGGAAGTTGGCCACGTCACGGCGCAAAATTTCACATTCGCGTATAGAATAACACGCGATATCGTAATATATTCAACGTATATTTTTCAACGTCGATCTCGATCTCGAATATATATAACAAATAATCCAGCTCGACCTTTCCCCCTTTTTTCTTTTCCAGGAGGTGTTGCTCGCGCACAGCAAAACGTCGACCCACTGCGAGCCCATCACGGTGATCCTTGCCGGGGTGGAGGCCCCGGAATTGGCGGCCATCCTCGGCTTCGTGTACACGGGAAGCGCGACGGTCCCTCGCCCTCGTCTCGACGCGTTCCTCCACGCCGCCGAGGCCCTCCACATCGCGCTTCCTCCCGTCCCCCTCGTAATGACGTGCGCGCAATCCGACTGCAAGCAGGAAGACATCAAGGACGTGAAGATCGACCCCAAGTACCTTCGCTCAACCTGCGATCAGTATCCGTGCTGCGACCGTTGCTACCGTCCCCGTTCCTATATAAATCAAGACGGAGATGGCCCCGCGGGCAAACAGGAGGGACCCTATCCCACTACGATCGAGCCCTTGGCAGAAACCGCGGCAGAAATCAGACCGCTTCCTGAATCGATGAACTTTGCCGGATCGAGATACGGGCCGAGTAAATATCGCTCTACAACCTCCTCGTGGCCCGTTCCTCCTTTCGCGAGGGAAAAGATGGTCCACGGCGTAGATCAGCATTTGGATAAGGAGAGGACGAGCGAGGCGGACGTGGCGCGGTATCGTCCCATCTCCGTGGTGGCGAGGATCGATAGGGTTGCCGACGTCCCCACCGGGATTCCTCGCCACTGGGAAAATCATTTTAACTCCGATTTTCCGGAGAAGACCCGCGGCGAGTTGTTTTCGACGGGGGCCTACGAGCCTGCTCCTCGCGATGGGGGGTTGGAGTTGCCTCCAACGCTCGAGGCGAGGATGAAGAGCTCTCGCCTCGCGGACGAGGAGGAAGACGCACCGGGAAATGATTCGTGCGGTGATTGCAATTCGGAGAAGATCATCCCCGAGGATCGTCTTAGCGTGATCCGTTCCCGGATCGGCCCCGTACAGAGTAAAACCGTATCCTTATCGGAGTTTGCCAGAAACTCGTACGAAAGAACGGATTTCGGCGAGGATTTGACGTGTCGCGAGAGTTGTTTCGTCCGGAGATCACCGAAGAGACAAGTGGCGAACAGGGTGATAGCTTCGCCATGGAAACAGACTGTTAAGCCTTATCATTTGCCGAAAATGCAGCCGATGGCGTTTCTTCAGCCTCATGTCGAGAACGTTGTAAGTTTATGTATCTTTTTTTTAAAACAGGATATGGTGGGATAGGTTAGAAATGTTAGAGACGAAGATTACGATCTTCTTCGTGCAAGAAAAATCATCGCACGAGAGAGAGATGTTAATTGTATAAGTATCCGTCAAATAATCGATATACTTGAACGAAGCTAATATTTCGTTATTAAACTAAGAGATATTTAAAAAGAGTCTGTGGAGTTAATACAAACGATCGTATATTTACTCACGTATGATTGAATGGAACATGGAAGGAACATCGAAATGCTAAACGGTGAATTTTTCGCTTCGTAAATAATAGAAGAGCGTTTAAACGATCGTTCGCAGCTTCCGTTGATTCTATGCGGGATCGAGTATTCTGAAAACATCTCGCATCGCTTGAAGAATATACGCGAATCGAGATTTCTGTTTCAAGGTGCCCATTACACTTCTCCGTTACGCTACTCCTTTCAGAATATTATTTATCTCGTAAACTTATCGTTCCTCGAATATCCGATTCCATGCTCTGAACGTATATCAGAGAGGGATAATGAACGGGATACATCGTTACATTATGGATACATTTGCATCTATCTATGAAACGAATTTGCAACGTTTTCTACAATTGATCTATAATCTTTCCAAGTGGTAAAAAAAAAATTAAAACCGCTTCATAACAGTTTTGAGATTTTTCTCGTCGGGCTGTTCCATCGGAAAATAAGATCAGAAGATATTGCCAAGATAGATAGCCGTTTCCTTTCACTACTTTCATGAAAATTAGAGCACTGGTTTTGATGCGCTGAGAGAGAGAGAGAGGAAGGGGGGAGGGGGGGGGGGGGGGAGGGAGAGATTGCAGAAAATTGGCACGACAAGTAACTCGAGGAGTTTTTCGTAATACGTCGGATTTTCAATTGCACAACGCTCGATGAATTTGTTCGGTCGATTATCGGCCAGATACAATTACCGATTCCTGTTCCGTGCCTTCATATTGTTACATCACGTCGCATACACGGATCTCGCTTAGATCGGGTTACTAATCTTACTCGGTAGCAATCTCTATCCTTTCGTACAGAAAGTAACTTGTTTACCGTGGCTTTTGATCAAGAAGGAGAGATTGTGCTCTCATCCTTCGAGATTCCTCCTCGCCATATGCTAACCTATTACAGCGATAACAAGGAAATTTCTTTATATTTTTCTTTTAATTTTTTTTCAATTCCTTCTCCAATACAATCTCTATCCTTCGTGCTTCTTCCTCGCTCTGAAAAAAATTTGTAGGAAAATTTGCTCGACTCGTCTAATTTGAAGCGTGCTTCCTCCATCGTTAATTAAATAATTAAGTATTCGTGGCAAATGATGAAGCAATTTTATCTGGGACCGTTATTTCATTCTTAAAATAAAATTGAACAGGAAATGCTTGGAACTAATGATCAGATCTTAAACCTCAAGCGATTCCGAACTCTTTCTTCGTTCAAACGAAGAAGAAGTTGAAAATGTCACTGATTCGGATCGTCATCGTATCCAATGACTAACAAAATATTTGCATTATTCTTCCGATCATCGTTGGCAGGATGAATCGTCTTAAAAGCTAATTGAGTGGAAATCGCGTAGATGTTTTATACACCTTCCAACTCTTCTCTTTTTCCATAATTATTTTCTAGAATTATCCATAGATACTTTCTTATTTTTGCAAATTAAACGCGCTTAAAAAAGAAGACGGGATTCCTTATTATATATCGATCGTATTTTCATCGTAAAATCAGCTGACCGTTTAATGCATCTTTACCTTCTTCTTTCTTCTTTTAACCCTCCTTCCCCTCCCTCCCCTTTCCTTCATTTTATAAATCTTCACCGCGAAATCACTGCGTTCAACATTCCGCTCTTTTGCTTCTCCACCTCCTCCTTTTCCCTCTCGCGTTTGATGATCTCTCGAACATGCTCGGGTCATTGCATAACATTCACCCGTCCGTATTGCTCGAGATCGTCCCCGTTTCAGGAATAAAACACTTATGGAAAGTCCGCGATCGGCCTAACATTCTGTGCCTTGGACGTTTTAAATATATTTTCCACCATTTGTCTTTTCGACTTTTATTAAAATTTGAACTCGTTCGAGAGGATAGCTAAGAATATTTTACCCATTTATCTCGGAACTCGATTTCTTCTTTTTAACCGGTTGTTTTTCAATTTGATTGAATAATATCTGCACACACGCCTCGAAAGTTAATAAACATCACCGCTTCGTCGTCGTTACCGCATTTCCTCGAATAATTCACTTTGGAAATAAAAAAAATTTTCGAATTTTCCTCGAAGCTTAAAATGTTCTCGGATTTATTCGGATTTTTAACGATTTTGGATAATCTACCTACGCTTTTGCCAATTTTACTTTTTATTAAAAAAAAAAAAAAATTAACATAAGCACATCACTTGCTGAATTCGCAACAAATGCACACGCGATACTACGATCAGTGAACAGCCATCTGTGATTTGAACTATTCGCATGCCGAGCACATGAAATATTGGTTATTCCAAATCGTTCGGTTAAAAGGTTAATCGGGCCGGTAACTTTGCCAATCCTATTTCTGGTTCATGACTGAAATCGTTATCTTCCGTGTCAATCGTAAAAGAAGAATGTACCTATCGTTGCTGGTAAGCAAGTAGAGCAGAAATTGTTCGTTTGACGTTAGAACGTACTGCTATAGGGATCAATCGAAACTAGGTCCCTCGTTGATCGTTTGCATACAATTCATTATTGATCGATCGAACGTCAAACGTATCTTTCAATCATTCTCTCATATTCGTTAAAAGTGTTACAGTTTCGCATCTTCATTGACGTTTCGTATCTTTGAAAACACATTCTGATCGTTATTTTTGATGTTATCGAGAGAGGGATATAAG